AGGTGGCCACTTTTGCCTCTGCTTGCTCCCATCTGGACTTTTCTATCTCCAGCTCTCTCTGATACCTCATCTGAGTACATCTACCAGTTTAATACCCCATGTTTAGGTCCATCTAACTTGCTGGTCTCAGCCGTGATTTTTTCAGCCTTTGACTCTGTCCTTTGGCCCCTCAGCCCAAAGATTCATTGTCCCTTCATAGCAACATCTGTCCTCCTGATGCCTTCCCAATTTCCCAGCCACTGCACCACTGTGACAGTGGGCAGTCCCGTGGCCAATCTCTACATCAGCTTGCACACCTGTCCTGGGCAGTCCACCAACCTACCTCACCTGTCATGCCTTGTTGTAATGAAAATAAATAGATGGTTCTAAGCAAAAGGCTGCCCTTTGTCTGCCCCAATGCCAAGGGCGTTACACATGACTCCAACATCCCCTTTATCATGTCCCAAGCCTCGCAGGTGTTATACTAGTATCTGACCCTTCTGTGCCCCTCTGGTGCCTCTTTCTCTGTGTGCCTGTCACTGGACTCTCCCCAACTCATGTACCCCTTTCTCCAGGCTCTAATGAGGCCTCCAAACCTCCACTTATAGCCTCATCCCTGTCCTCTGGTGCAAACTGTAACACAAGCATAATCCCCTGGGCTATAATGTTAACACTAGAAAGGACAACAACACTATGCCCCTTTAAGGGGAGAAACTTCCACCCTTAGCACAACATGCCCCTAGCCTGGTACCTGGGAGACTCTCTGGAGGCTTGCAGCCCTTAGGTAGTAAAGCAGGCAGCACCAGGTCTCAGATAAATACCTCATGGAGGAATTCCTCCCCTGGCAGTTGGCAGAGAGAGAGTGTCCCTGAAATCTCCAGCCTGGGGCTTATATTTCCCCAAACCCTACCTCTTTTCAGTCATGCGATGCCTGCAGGTGCTGCCCAATTACCCACTTAGGTTGTTACCCCAGCAACCCACAGCTGTGGAGCTCTGCTTAGCCTGTAGAGCTCCCTGTCCAGGCTGCTTCAGCCTTAAAGGAACAGTAACCTCTTAGTGCCCTACTACACTGACCCATATGATCTTTTCTAATGGTGTTTGATTCTGAAATGTTTGTGAAAATACCAATCTCATGAATACTTTTACTTTGAACACATTTAGAATACTGTTTGCATGTTAAAAAGGAAATCTTCACATAATATTCTGTTGTAAATCAGTTATCAGTTATTATACCTTTTACGTAATCATAAAATGTATCACTAACTTTGAAGTCATAGAATGAATCTGTATTATAAAGAAACTAAACTTAATATTGATGTTCTAATATATTAAATATTAGTGCTATAGGTCTAACATAGCTATATCAAGTCAGTCTTTGTTGTATATGTGAAACACTGATTGTCCCAAACCACTCTGGTCTTCATCAGACAACTCAGAGAGCTGGAAGGCCTAGGTCATAGTCAGGAGATAGATATCAGAGAATGTGATTTAGTGAAGTGGTTCCCAACCTTTCTTTATACTGCGGACTGGCAAACAGTTTTACATTTAAATTTGCATATTTAAATTAGATGTTTATATGGGGTGGGGGTTGTGAGGATCAGATCGAGCTGTGGGCACCAGGGGACTCTGCAGGGGAGGGGGCTGCACAGGTAGTGGCCCGGGGGACTCAGCTGGGGCTGCCTGAGAAGAAGGGGCTCTGCTGCCTTCCCTAGGAGCAAGCAGTGGAGCTGCCTCCCTGCCCCCCACTCTGGGCATTTCCCTTCCTGCATCCCCCTGCTCCCAGCTGTGGTTGGGGCTGGGGGGTCCTGTGCAGCTCGGTGCTGGCCCTGGTACCTGCTGCATGGGCAGCACCTCTCCAGGTGCCACTATGGCAGTGGGACAGAGTGCATGGAGCCAGTTGCCTTCCTTCCAGGGCTGCCCCACTGCCCAGCTTTAACCCTGCATGTGACTGCCGGTGGCCCAGCAGCCAACGCTTTGCGGTCCAGTACTGGGCTGCAGCCCGGTTGTTGGGAACCTCTGTTTTAGTGTACTTTAGTTGTATTGCATTAGCTCTGATACCATGTCCTATAATTCTTTTGGGAAAATGGCAGTGCATTTTGAAATGCTGTCTCAGAACCCTCCAGGTTTGGAGTTTTATAGATATTTCTTATGGTCCCTTAACAAAAGTAGAGCTTTTGGCTTCTATCCTCCATTTTTGTTAGGGATTTAATCAAGAATGATGCTTCCTGCAAAACTTAACTATTTATAGAGGTACCCTCATCCCAAACAACATTTCACTTCTAAATAGTACTACCTTCTTCAAGTGAAGCTCTAGCTGCTTGGAGTAGTTAACTGACTTCATGTCAATCAAGTTTATTTCTAAAGTTTAAGTGAATGATAACTGAAACAAAAATCGGGCATCTTCATTTGTTAAAAAAAATATTTTCTGGGGGAAGAATTCAACTGTATAGAGAAAGCCAATGTCAAGCTTACATGCTCTTAGAGGTTCAGGTGGAGGATAAATAGTATATAAATCTTGACTTTGTCCCACTGTACAAAGTACATTTCATCCATAGAAGATACCTTGAAAACAAAATGATTGCATTTAGTTTTTCAGGTTTCATTCGTTAAGTTTCAGAAATATCTCCCAAAAGGTTTTTTTTTCACTTCATGAAGCTGCAGCAGAATGTCAAAAAGCAAAGAGGGTGGTAATAAATGGCTCAGTGTCTAGTTTGCAGCCAGTATCAAATGGAGTGCCCCAGGGGATGGTCCTGGGGCCAGTTTTGTTCAATATCTTCATCAACAACCTGGAAGATGGAATGGAGTGCAAGTTTGCAGATGACACCAAGTTGGGGGGAGTAGTAGATACACTAGAAGGAAGAGCCCAGCGAGTCAGCCCCCAGCCTGTACTGATGCATGGGATTGTTCTGCCCTAATTGTAGGACTTTGCACTTGTCCTTATTGAACCTCATGAGATTTCTTTTGGCCCAATCCTTCAAACTGTCAAGGTCTCTCTGAATCATAGCCCTACCCTCCAGCATATCTACTATTCCCCACCACTGGTGTCATTGACAAACTTGCTGAGGGTGCACTAGACAAAACCTTGGCTGGGATGACACAGTTGGGGATGGTCCTGCTTTGAGCAGAGGGGTTGACTAGATGACTACCTTAAGTTCCTTCCAACCCAAATTTTCTATGATTCTAAATACCAACTGCATATATATTGCTTTTTTTCCCTTCAAAAAGTTTTCTTAGCCTATAGATGGAACAAGGAATGCAGACACCAAAGTATTTTTATTTCTTGAAACAAAGGCCATAATGTCTTCTTTTTGCCAGAATAAATTACTCTAAAATGTTATGGTGTGTTTGGTTCTGATTACAGAATTTATAAAGTGAAGGAGGGTTTATTTTATAAGGTATTTGCCAATGTTATTTCAGAGTTTCATAGTTTCTATGGTCGGAAGGGACCTGAGCAGATCATCTAGTCCGACTCCCTGCCATGGCAGGAAGAGCACTGTGGTCAAATGACCCCAGTAAAGTGGTCATCCAACCTCCTCTTAAAAACCCCCAGGGTGGGAGCCTGCACCACCTCACTTGGAAGCTGGTTCCAGACTCTAGCTGCCCTGACCGTGAAGTAGCGCCTCCTGATGTCCAACTTAAACCTTCCCTCCGCCAGCTTGTGACCATTGTTCCTGGTCACTCCTTGCGGCGCTCGGGGGAACAGGGACTCCCCCAGCGCCTGCTGATCCCCCCTAACCAGTTTATAACAGGCCACAAGATCCCCCCTCAGCCTTCTCTTTTGAAGGCTGAACAGGTTCAGGTCC